AAACGCCAAATTGTTTCAGAAATTTCTGTTTAACATAAATATTTGATGTACTAAAAATCATAAATGTAAATGTTCGAGTACTTTCATTAGTTACTGTAGTTTATTCGTTACATACGATTTTAATCGATTGGAAAATAGCGTTAAAAAACAAATAAATGAGGTTTATAATAATGTATATTAGCCGGACATCACAACTAAAATTATACGGAACTGATATATGTTGAATCTATTACATTTAAACCTTCGGCAAATACCTGATTTAAACGTATAATATATCATCGTGTGCTTATTGGGATCAATAAGCAATATACAAATATTCATCTAGGGCAGTCAAGAATAGCATAATGAGACCATAGCTATCCGGCGCTCGTAAAACAAATTTTTCAAAAGAAATAATAATAAATAAATATAATGGAATAGAGAAAAAAATAAAATGAGAATTAATGAGTATAGTAATAAGAAGGCATAAGTGAAAATTGCGTTGAATCAGTTAAATCAAAATGAATTAAATCAGAATAGAGTAATGTTAAATTAAATTAAGAATGATATACAGAAGAGTTCAAATCTAACTTTACTTATTAATACTAAGCAGAAATAATTAAAGTTAAGAGAATTGAATAATTATAGTTACATCTACATATTAAATTAACACTTACAATAATACAAGTAAATAGTATAGAGATAAAAAAGTATAACTTAATTAAAAATTGAATTATATTTAAATTAAATTGAGTTAAATTAGAATAAATTAAGTTAAATTAGATTAAGTTAAGTTTGATTGAATTAGAAGTTGAAACAGAAGTTAAATTAAATAGAAATAAGAATATAACAAATGTAGAAAGTATATAGGTGTGAAAGTATATAGTGTGTAAATATATTTATCTCTAGGTGAAAATAAATAAAAAGATTGTATAAATGTAAATAAAGGCAAATAGTGTGTGTGAAGTTGGCATCTCATTTCGCGGAAACTCACAAATTATTGAGAGTTCTGACTTCCTTTCGAATAGTTCTAGAGTTCCTAATAAATTAAACAAATAGTTCTGCTCATTAAAGCGAAAAAATCGGTTCGGATAAAGTGAGACGCCAAGTTCACGCCGCGTCTCACTTTGTCCTAAATAAGTTCCGATGTCCGCCGATGCAAGATTTTGAAATATTTATAGTTCTACAAGAATTCTATAAAGAGTTCTGTCAAATTAAAGCAAAAAAAATTATTTAAACATAAATACAGAGTAACTAATAATGTAATAACAGATCGAGCTAAACTACAAACAAATAACTCGGAGTTCTCGGAAAAATTCTACTTTTCGTATAGTTCTCAATATGAAGAATTCATTTTCTAAAGAGTTCCGGGCGATTGCGATAACGTACAATTGTTAAATAAACAAATATCACCCGAGCGTCACGTACTTAGACGCATAGGTATGAGACGTTAGCCGTTATTTCAGAGTTCTGGCTTAAAAATTATATTTTTCGTATAGTTCTCAATATGAAGAAGCATTTTCTAAAGAGTTCCGGGCGATTGCGATAACGTACGATTGTTAAATAAAAAAATACCGTCCGAGCGTCACGTACTTAGACGCATAGATATGAGACGCTAGCCGCTATTTCGGAGTTCTGATTTAACCCGGTATATTGTTCGTATGGTTGAATATATTAAAGCATTTTGTAAAGAGTTCTGAGCATTACGATATATTATGATGATATAATTTCTAAACAAATAAACAAATATTGCCCGAACTTTTTACAGAGAATTAACTGAAACCCTGTCTGTGATTTCATTGTTAATGTATTTTGAAATTTCTAGTTTGTGTTATTAACTCGTTGAAAATGTGCTAAATTAAATAAAAAATAAATGTTACGTCCGGGGGACTTAACGAATTCTTCTCTTTCGGGAAGAAAAAAATTAACGGCTAACCTATAAACGGAGCACTTCGAACGATCTAAAGAAACCCTAAATAAACAAACTTTCTCTCGAGATATGTCTCACTATCAAAAAAAATTCTGGTAAACAGCCTTGTCGGCGCCGACAAGTTTATGACTTACCAATAAAAATTAATATTAACAAAAGCAAATTCCTAACGGATAAGAAACGCGTTGGATCGTTCGGGGGTAACACTCCCCAAATTGGTGGGGAAACACAAAAAAAACGCCAGTCAAGAAGAAACGATTAGTGTCCGTTGGCGGGCACAATGAACGATTGAGGGTGTGAACTAGCGGGAAAATTTTTATTAACTAATTCTATCATTCGCTGGGAAATCTGGAAATATAAAAACAACCACAATTCACAGAACACCGCTTCCCTCCTTCCTCTATATTCACAATTTTCTTAAACTATCATTCGACAAGCCAACACGGAAATCCATCACGCCCTCAGATATTCCCACCCCTCCGGAACCCTTTAAAAACCGCGACTTGGAGCGGATCGCTCTCTTCTTCCTACTTCTCATCGCTACATTCACGGTCGGGACTATCCGAAATTGTCAGTTAGAATCTGTGCGCGATTCTTATATTTCGTGTGATTCAACGATCCAGCCTGGCCATTGCATTTCTTGACCAGCGGCCGCTACAACAAAAGTAAGTCCAACTTTATCATTTTTTCCCCGCGGTAACTGGCAGTTTGGTTCGCGACCTCTACTTATTTATCTCATTAGAACACTCCAACATTCCAAATTGGCAAGCCGCCGATTAACTCGGTGAAGCTGCCTTCCCCGATTCCACAACATTCTATTCCACAACCTTCTAACCTGGCAAGCCGCCGATTAACTCGGTGAAACTGCCTCCCCCGATTCCACAACATTCCAACCTGGCAAGCCGCCGATTGATTCGGTGAAGTTGCCTTATCTCGATTTCTCAATTTCTCTTTCATCTCTCTTTTATATAGTGAACCAAACAAATGCCATCCGGAATGGGCGAACGAAACAGGCATTGCGACACCGTCGGGAGAAATCGAATAAGCGGATTCGTCGCGAAACCTGCCACGCCGAAGAACTCGCGGAGCAATTAATAGAAGTAGAACCGGGGCTAGCCAACATCTCGCTGCATCAATACGCCTCCACCCTCCGCTCCGCGGCCGAATTCGAAAACCAGTGTACTCCAGAGAACTTCGACGTGGAGAAGTTCTTTAACCTCGTCCGCCAATTTTCTCGCTCTCCCACCCATCCATCTCCTGGCACCTTCTTCATCCAAAGAAAGTTTAAACCCGACAAACAATTTTGGGACCAGACCAGGAGTTCTCCAAACACAAAATCACTGATACTGTCCCTATGTATATTTCCCGTGATCCTCTTCCCTACCTCGTCCCAATCAAGGCTTTCCGCACCGCGCACTCTAATCCCCCGCCACACCTGCAACCCGATCCCATAGACATGCTCGCGACCACCAACTTTTTGCCCCAATTAGAACAATTGGGTATATAAATCCAGATTTTCCTTTTCCGCGGCCATTTTCTATATTTCAAATTTTTATGTATAAAATTTTTCTTTTGTAATGAATAACTCAACCCTTTTTGATGTACACACACAGAACATTGTAATTCACTTTTATTTATTATTATTAAATTAGTTAATCAGAATTCCGTCTTAAATTTTTTTTCTCCCCTAAAACTTGACCCCGCGCCGTTCCCGGCTCCCTGAAGATCGCACTAAGTCCATCCCTGGTCAAAGAGATTCAGTTCTCTGACCTAAAACGAACCACCGATAGCGCGGGCGCAGGCAAGGGTAATAACGTCGCCGACGCTGACCCGATCCCTGCCCCCTTAACGCGCGTTCGACTTGCGGATCGGCATCACGACGTCGTTCCGCGAGAACAGGAGAGATTCCGTGCGTCCACCCGAGTTCTCCTCCTCTTAACGAGAGATATTATCTTTTGTCCAGAACACGGACGGTAACATAAGTATGTGATAAATTTTAAAAATAAATTTCTTTTTTCATTCTTACCATATAACTAAAAGTAAAGGATACATAAACGTAATAGAAATATGTTGATGCACATTATTTTCAAATAACGTATTTCTTTTTGCATTATATTTTTTATATTTTTTTTATATGTTTATATATATGAAAATTACTGTATGCTAATTACTGTATTTTATTAAGTACATGCGACAGAGCTGGAATAGCGGAGGACTCCCCACCATGAGATCTCCCCACCGTCCAAGACAGTACAATGGTGGAAGCGCGTACACTTCTGTGGCTGCGTCATTGTACTGTCTTGAACGGTGAAGAGATCTCATGGTGGGGAGATCTCATGGTGGGGAGTCCTCCGCTATTCCAGCTCTGTCGCATGTACTTTCGCTTCACGCATTCGCTACTGGCAAATTTCCGAAATCAAGAGAAACGCTAACGTTTCGAGCTTAGTTTAGAGATATTCGATATTTAGATATATATTTGATATATATTCGAAATTTTTTTCTTTTAAGAGCTTATTTGTTTTTTCCTAATTAGTATTACATATATAAAACATTGATATATACATATTTTATGTTTATTTTATATATTACATTATAATCTTAATATCCATTGACCCTGTCTATATATAAATACTTATTTTACTCAACATGTATGACCAAAATTAATTGTTTCGAATATTAACGTCTACAGAGTATAGATGTTTAGATGCAGATGGAAAATGTTTTCCACCGTCTAATCCAATGTATGAAGGAATTAGCAAAAAAATGACTGAATTAGGTTCGTATATAAGCCCAAAGCATATATATACTATTTTAAACAGCGATAGACGAGGTATATATATTGCCGTATTACAATCATTTGGCATTAAAAAAATAATATTGAAAATGAGTCACGAAATGAGACAGGTGATATGAGCATCCTTCAGCATTCATCAGAAGACAATAAAGTTTTCCGATTAATAATTTCGGAAGAAAATTGGAATAAAGTAAAACCTATATCAAAGAACTACGGTAATCGCCGATACTTAAAGTTAAAACCGAGAGAATGGTCTAACATCTTTGCTACAAAAATATGGGAACAAACAAAAATTCCTTGCCCATTTACATTCAAAAACGCAACAGTATTTCCAAGTCATAATGCTAAATGTTTTGCAAAATTTAATGCTATATGTAAAGAATGCAAAGGAATTTTGCGAGGCACGATGTTGAGAAAGTCCAAAAACAGGACGCAATATTTGATTGCACTTTGTTCGGTTTTAATAATGAAATAATACATACGAAAAAAAGACAGTTAAGAGGTTTTCTATGTCAAAAAATTGCTGGACATTTAGTGGACACGAAGAAAGCAGCAACAATCTGGCGTACAGAAGAAGCGAATAGAATTATGGAGTTTGGTGATAAAAGTCCACCAATTTTATATTCGCAACGTGTTCTGCGTAAAGCCAAGCAGAATGAAATAGACAATCGTCTGGACATTGACGATTATGATGCTATACGAAATATTCAAGTATTGAAATATACCACAAAGCAAGGTATGATACATGGGATAGGTCTAGATCTTTTTTATATAATGTATTGGTCTAAAGAACAATTGACTATGTACAAGACAATAAATCGCAGTAAGGATTCATATTTTACCATGGATGCTACTGGTAGCCTAGTAACAAAACTTACCTGGATACGATGGATCTAAATCTCCTCATCTTTTCTTGTATCAATGCTTGATTGTTCCTAAGAACAACCGAGGTATTCCGGTGATTCCAAATGATATCCGCGAAACAAGATGCAGCACTATTGACGTACTTCCTGCATGAGATTCGTAGAGCAGGTGCCACGATCCCATCGATTGTTGTAATCGATCATAGCCGAGCAATGCTAGCAGCATTAGCGCGCGCATTTGCAAGTTGTACTGATCTACAACATTATTTACAATGTTGTTACGATATTATAAAGAGTAAAGATACATTTGTGCCTACTTCGTACTTGAGGCTGGACGTTAGCCACGTCATAAGAATCATAAGCAATTGGGAATGTTTGCGTCATTTGCCTAAAAAGGTAAGACAAATGTATCTCAGAAGCATATGCCAAGCATATAAAATGCAGTCTATGAAGGAATTAGAATCCTTTTTATTATCTTTGTTCGTTGTAGCTTTAAGTGAAGATGTCGGTTACATAGATAAAGATTCTGTTGAAGCAGAAATGTGCCTTCAAAATATTAATGACTGCATCAAAGAAGAATGTGTCGAAGAAAATAACATTCAATCTGAAACATCTTCAGATGATTTGAATGCAAGAGAAGTTCCACCATCTTGGCAGAAATGGAGCGATGATGTATATAATAAAGCTAACGATTTAGCATTAAAATCAATAAATGGAAACACTGTCAACGCTTTCTATAATCCAGAAGTTGCTAAGAAGATCAAACAATTGATGCAAATCTTATCGCTATGGACCGGTGTAATGCGTCCTTATTTTAAATGTGGAACAGAGATAGCGACATCTTCTGCCGTAGAGTCGCTTTTTGCTGAATACAAATCAAGGTTTTTCAAAGGAAATATTCCTATAAGAGTAGACAAATTTGTTATTAATCATTTCAATTATCTTGACGGCAGAATGCGTATAGATTTTGCGGCAAATGATACTTTATCTCAAAAACTACATTACGACATATCATCGAAGTACGACAAGACAGATACACTTATAACTGATTCTTCAGCTGACATATCGCTACCAAATTCAACAAGTTCCAATTTAATTCATTCAAGTTTAACTTCTGAACATAATAAAGATCCTCGTTTAAATGATTCTAGCATAATTAATGATAGCTCGCATGTATGTGATACTAATAATGCTAGTACTTCTTTCGCAATGTCCGAATCACTAAATGAAAGCGATGATAATATAAAATCCTTAAATTTCGAAGAAAATTGGATGGGTTTAACTAACAAAAACTCAAAAAAAGTTTGTAGCGTAAAACGAAACACGTATTTAGATAAATGTCCCGAATGGGATAGCGTGAATTCTAAGGACACAGTTTTTATTCCTACCATAAAGAATGGTAATTTGTGTCAACCTGTCAAAGCACAAAATAAAACTATAATGTTACGAAATACATGCGCTTTTGACTCCCTTCTGCTTATTACAGCTCACGTTATAGGTACACATACTAATTATAAACATATTATAGATATTATTGATGATGATCCCTTTTTATGACTCGCTAAAACGATAGCAACTCGAGGAAAAATTACTCGAAATGAATATATTGAAAGAGCGTCGTTTTTAATTAATACATCATTATTTCAAAATTATAAAAATACGAGACGTTTTAATTCGTTGGATGCAATGTGTAATGCTGCTCATCTGGCAGAACACACTTTTGTTAACTTACCTAGTCTTCAACGAACTAAAATCTGTAAAATGTGTAATTATCAAAATGACAGAAAATACATATTTATCAGTATCAACGTAAATATACTTTTTCAGAAAGGACTTCTAAATATACAAGAAGCAATTGATGACACAACTGTAATAAAACACAGTTGTATTCAATGTAAGAGTGCGTGCGATATAAAGGAAAATTACGGGCCACAAATTATGATAGATACCACCATTTTTACGGATTCTAATTACATAAAAAATAATGGATTCCAATTAAAAGCTAATTGTTTAGACGATATTGCAAAAACCATCACAGTAGGCGGTAATAAATATTCGCTCAGAGGAGTTGTTAATTATATTACAAATATGCGACACTATATTGGCATAATATATAATATATCTTGGTTTAAATATAATGATTTGAAGACAAAAAGAATTGAAGTATCACAGCAAAATATGAGATTGTACCGCATGTCTTGTTATACGTACAAGCAAAATAAAATATATTAATGGATATTTAAAGATTTTTCGTGTGACTAATATGATATACATTATAATATGATATACTTTATTTTCCAATTGAATGGAAGCATATAAAATACAAAGAAAAAATATAACAAGAACAAAAATATAATATATATGATAATAAAAAACAAAGTAATAAATATATATAATAAAATATATATTAATAAAAAAATATAATAAAAAAATAATAAAAATATATATAATAATTACAAAAAAAATTTACAAAAACAATAAATACAAAAAAAGTATAAAAACAGAAAAAAATATAAAAAAACGATATATTAATTAGATTAATAAGATACAGTAATTACCATACAGTAATTTTCATATATATAAACATATAAAAAAATATAAAAAATATAATGTAAAAAGAAATACGTTATTTGAAAATAATGTGCATCAACATATTTCTATTACGTTTATGTATCCTTTACTTTTAGTTATATGGTAAGAATGAAGAAAAGAAATTTATTTTTAAAATTTATCAGATACTTATTTTTTATTTAATTTAGCACATTTTCAACGAGTTAATAACACAAACTAGAAATTTCAAAATAATACATTAACAACGAAATTAATAAATACATTAACAACGAAATCACAGACAAGGTTTCAGTTAATTCTCTGTAAAAAGTTCGGGCGATATTTGTTTATTTGTTTAGAAATTATATCATCATAATATATCGTAATGCTCAGAACTCTTTACAAAATACTTTAATATATTCATAACCATACGAACAATATACCGGATTAAATCAGAACTCCGAAATAGCGGCCAGCGTCTCATCGCAATCGCAATCGCCCGGAACTCTTTAGAAAATGCTTCTTCATATTGAGAACTATACGAAAAGTATAATTTTTAAGCCAGAACTCCGAAATAGCGGCCAGCGTCTCAAACCTATACGTCTAAGTACGTGACGCTTGGATGGTATTTATTTATTTAACAATCGTACGTTATTATAATCGCCTGGAACTCTTTAGAAAATGCTTCTTCATATTGAGAACTATACGAAAAGTAGAATTTTTGAGCCAGAACTCCGAGTTATTTGTTTGTAGTTTAGCTCGATCTGTTATTACATTATTAATTACTCTGTATTTATGTTTAAATAATTTTTTTTGCTTTAATTTGACAGAATTCTTTATAGAACTCTTATAGAACTATAAATATTTCAAAATCTTGCATCGGCGGACATCGGAACTTATTTAGGCGTGAACTTGGCGTCTCACTTTGTCCGAACCGATTTTTTCGCTTTAATGCAGAACTATTTGTTTAATTTATCAGGAACTCTAGAACTATTCGAAAGGAAGTCAGAACTCTCAATAATTTGTGAGTTTCCGCGAAATGAGACGCCAACTTCACACACACACACAGGCAAATAAGATAATAAATATATTAAATTATTAGGCAGTATGATAAGTAAGCAGAAACAATTTGTTAAAGTACAATGAATATATAACTAAGCGAAGATCAAATTAAGTAGATATACATGTACATTCCAAATAATACATTTCAAACATAAAGAATAATATATAAAGATAAGTAAATAAATAAAGAAAGAGTAAAAATAACTGAATAAATAGGTAAATAAAATCAAATAAAGCAAGTGATGTGAGTCAGGTTATGAAAGCAAGATATAAGAAGTTTTATAACTGATACATAAAATTAAATATAACAGTGATGCCGTATGATAAAAAAATTAAATAGAGAGAAAATTAGAAGATGTATCGTCAATGAAGCTAATAAACTTAAAAGGAATAATCTATATGGAAAGTTATCATTAACTGACTAATGAATAAAGTTATAAGATTATGATAGTATTATTATAAAGTATTATTATTGAGTAAATAACTAGAGTCAATGAGTTCCAAGAAAAAGTATAATTAAATTAATAAATATACTCTTAGATTCATTATTATAAGCATAATATACCGCATCAAGGTAAAGTAAAGTGAATAAAATACATACCAGATCTCAATTAAATCAAAATCATATGCACAATTTAATAAATACCAGAGCTCCAATAGATCCAAGGCAATTTAAGAATAAATCTAATATGTACATATATATCCGCAGAGAAATTATATGTGTATCCAGGAGCTCGAACTCCAAATCGCTCCACCGCCAGATCGGTAAAGTATTGATAGAATGATTCGCTGAATCCGTCACAATATATTATAGATAATATCCGGAGGATCGTGACCTATCAAAGAACTAGCAATAAAAAAAATTATATAAAATACAAAATTTATACAAAATCATTGTATTACTAAATTAAAATAAATAATTCTAATGCAGAATTAAATATAGATAATTTATTAAATACCATATTACCATTATTGCATACATTCCATGCAAATAAATATAAATATAATAAATTAAATATTATCAAAACATGGTATTATCAATATTGGTATTATCAATTCATAAATGAACATAGATTGTTATAGAATAAGAAATTGTAGTATTATAAGAAACAGAATAAGAATTAAAAAAGTTCAGACTGATATAATATGAAATATACATATGTTTATATATTACAATTTAATATTCTAAGATATTTTTTATGAATAAATATATTTACATTTTAAATATATATATATTCCCATTTTTATTTGTTTGTAACAGAGAGGTCTTTTCGCAATACAGATTTCTTTTAGTATTTAGAAAGGAAGGTTGAAATTCAAGATACTATAAGGCAAATAAAATATTTTCATATTTTCATATAAAGTTCAACGTTTATAATTTTATCCTACAAAGCATTAACATCGTGAATATTTAGTAAAAAT